GTGTTGTCGTTGTGATTGCACTCTAAGTAGTCTCCCCGGTCCCTCCCTTGCTCCCCTATTTAGCAGCCAGAGTGAGCCTCCTGAAAGGATCTTATTAATCTTGTCTACAATTCTTCCAGAGACTTCCTGCCTCGCTTCAAGTAAAGGCATTGTGATAGCTTCTGACTCATCTGATTTCACATATCCGTCTTATTTCATTTCCTGCGATTCTCCTCATCTTTTCTGTTTGCTCCAGCCACGCCGATTGTGTTCCTGCCTCAGGGACCCTGTGCTCACTGCTCCCTCCATCTGCAGTATTCTTCTGCCTTATGTCTTCCTGGCTCTTTTCCTGACACCCTTCCACTCACTCCAAGTCACCTTTTAGTCTAGCCCTTCATGCTCATGCCATTTAAGATTGAAACCTCTTCTCTGTCTCCTTTCTTGTCTTTGCTGCTTTCTTTTCAACAGTTGAAAAAAAACACATTTGTAGGGGCACCTGGGTGGCTCGGTCAGTTGAGCATCCAACTCTTGATTTCAGCTCAGGTCAGTGATCCCAGGGTCCTGGGATCGAGCCCCACGTCAGACTCCACACTGAGCGTGGAAACTGCTTAACATTCTCTCTCTCTCCCTCTGCCCTTCTCCCCTGCTCACTCTCTCTCTCCAAAGGAAAACAAAAACCACACAACAAAAACATATTTGTATATTATAGAGATGAATACCCATTTTCATATTATTTATATTTCTGTAAATACAGTTTAATATTTGTAGTCTAAAATCATATTTTAAAGCAAATATATTTTACTAAAATCTGTATGTTTGCATATTTTTAGAAACCAACTCCTTACCATAGCAATAAGGTCAGTGAGTCGCGCACGCTCTCTCATTTTTTGTTTTTTTTTATTTTTAAAAAATATTTTTTAACGTTTATTTATTTTTGAGAGATAGAGGACAAGCGGGGGAGGGGCAGAGAGAGGGAGACACAGAATCGGAAGCAGGCTTCAGGCTTTAAGCTGTCAGCACAGAACCCGACATGGGGCTCGAACCCATGAAACTGTGAGCTCGTGACCTGAGCTGAAGTTGGATGCTTAATCGACTGAGCCACCCAGGCGTCCCTAAAATCTTTTTATCTACACACGCATTAAATTGGCTACTATTTAAAAAGTTGACCATACCAAATGTTGTGGAAGATACAGAGCACCTGGAACTCTTACCTGTTGCTGTTGAGATGAACAATGGTGGAGTCAGTTTGGAAAGCAGGTTGGCAGTTTCTTCACAAATTAAATGTATCCCTGTCCTAAACACACACCTAGCCCTCTCACTCATAGGTACTTGCTCATTAGAAATAGGAATGTATGTCCACACAAAGGTGTGGACATTGCTGACAACATTGTTCATCTTAGCCAAAAACTAGAGACCATGTCCATCAGGTGATGAATGGATAAGGAAACACAGACTATTTCCATATGCGGTGGAAGGCTGTTATGAAGCAAAGGGAAGGAATGAAGTCTTGACATGTGTTGCAATGTAAATGACTCTAAAAATCATTATTCTGAGTGAAATAAGCCAGGCACAGAACGACATACATATCTTTATATACATATATATACAATTATATACTTATATGCATTTATACATTTACATACTATATATACGTATATATATATATACACACATGCATGTACATTATATCTTTATACATGGATTGCATGTTCTAGAATAGACCAGTTAATTTGTAGTGACACCAAGCAGATTGTCAAGGCATCCACATGCAGGGAGGGAGGGATGGGTCCTGAAGAGTGATGGAAATGTTCTATTTTTTTTCTTAAGTTTATTTATTTATTTTGAGAAAGAAAGCGGGAGAGGCAGAGAGAGGGAGAGACAGAATCCCAAGCAGGTTCCATGCTCTCAGCACAGAGCCCAACATAGGGCTCGAACTCACAAACTGTGAAATCATGACCTGAGCTGAGATCAAGAGTTGGATGCTCAACCAACTGAGCCCCACAGGCTCCCTGTGATAGAAATGTTCTGCATCTTGACTGTGCTGTGTTTTTACCAATGCATAAGTCTCTCAAAGATCACTGAACTTATACTTTAAATAGATGAGTTTGTTGTACATAAATTATACTTAAATTCGGTACAAAATATTTTTAGCTAGATTGTTTATTTCTTTTTCAAGCCGATTTAACTTGATCTGGGTTAATTTGATAAGTTGCTTGACTGGCAGTCTACTGCCATTGATAATAACATGGGGATTTCTTTTAAAACTGGACCAGTTATGAAATTTGCCAAGGATCAACATTCACTTAAAACAGTAATTTAAAAGGCAACGATAAGCAGAAAATTCAATGTGTTAAAATCAGTAATACTGAAAGGTAGGTAATACTTGCTCAAATTTTATAGAGAGTGAAACCATGGCTCAGAAGGATCCAGTAAATAATGCAGAAAAGATTTGAACCCAAGGTATTTGAATACAAACTTAAATTGATAATACCATGTTGAAAGTGAATTCACTTTTCTAAATATCACTGTATCTCAGATGGGTCTTTCAGTATCTCCGATGGATTCAGGTTTTATACTGGGTGAGGGGTCTTTAGACATTTTTAAAGGTTATCAAATATATCATAATATATATATATATGTATATACATGTGATTTATATATAATGTACAATACATATATGATATATAATATAAATGTATATATATATATATATATATATATATATATATATATACACACACATATATATGCACACACAATTTTTTAAACATAAGTTCTACATCCAATGTGGGGCTTATCTCACAACTGCGAGATCAGGAGTTGCATGGTTTACCGACTGAGCCAGCCAGGTGGCACAAATATGTTTATAGATAAAAGTCTCAAATTAAATGATGTGAAACTTAGGAACATTTTCTTTCATAGAGTTGATTTATAAATATTTTTATGATGATAGCACTTTGTTATGATTTATAAATATTTCTTAATTCTAAGGTTTTGCTAAAGAGAGTTCATGTGTTGTCATGAGGTTAAAAACAACTTGCAGGGGCACCTGGGTGGCTCACTCGGTTAAGCTGCCTACTCTTGATTTCGGCTTAGGTCATTAGGTCACAGTTCATGAGATCGAACACCGAGTTGGGCTCTGCACTGGCCGCTGGGAGCCTTCTTGGGATTCTCTCTCCTCTCTCTGCCCCCAAAATAAATTAACAAACATTTAAAAAAACAAAAACTTGCAAAACCACATTCTTTTTTTTTTAACTGTTTTATTCTCTTTTGAGAGAGAGAGAGAAACAGAGCACCAGCAGGGGAGGCACAGAGAGAGGGAGACACAGAATCTGAAACAGGCTCCAGGCTCTGAGCTGTCAGCACAGAGCCCAATGCACGGCTGGAACCCATGAACCGTGAGATCATGACCTGAACTGAAGTCAGATGCTTAACCGACTGAGCCACCCAGGCACCCCAAAACCACATTTGTTTTAAACTGTCCTTTGAGAATATCATTTATTATGTATTGTATTAGCATCTAATGACTTCCGACCCACGGGATAACACATTTGCTTATCATTGTTTGTAGGTAGTTCGATATTTGGCTGGTTGTGGACTGCAGAGTTGCCCAATGCTGGTATCTAAGGGTTACCCAGATATTGGGTGGAATCCAGTTGAAGGAGAGAGATACCTTGACTTTCTCCGATTTGCTGTCTTCTGTAATGGTAAGACTAATTGCTTTGGGTCTTTTTTTGGTCATGATTAAAACTGCATAAAAATAGATGCATAAAATAATAATATATCCTAGCATTTTCATCTAAGAAGCAAATATTAGTAAAGAAAAAGTTAGTAAAATGTTTTATAATCAGTAGTTTGTTCACAGTAATAATTTAATTTCTAATATTTTTTTGAATGCGATGCTTTTATTATTAAACTAAAATTTTTAGGCAGTTACAAGTTCTTGTAAATTTGAATCATTGGGTCCTAGTGGCGCCTGGGTGGCGCAGTCGGTTAAGCGTCCGACTTCAGCCAGGTCACGATCTCGTGGTCCGTGAGTTCGAGCCCCGCGTCGGGCCCTGGGCTGATGGCTCAGAGCCTGGAGCCTGTTTCCGATTCTGTGTCTCCCTCTCTCTCTGCCCCTCCCCTGTTCATGCTCTGTGTCTCTCTGTCCCAAAAATAAATAAACGTTGAAAAAAAAATTAAAAAAATAAATTAAAAAAAAAAATAATTGGGTCCTAATTAATAGGTAGGCTTATGGCTTCATTTCGTATAATGAATTAACAAGGGTGAAAAAACTATGCATCTGTAATGCTTTTTACTTTCCAAATTTTAAGTACAAGAAGCTTTCTGAGTCTTGTGTACATAAAACTAGTGATTTAAGTCGAATTCTAGCTTTATTAGTGACTATGTCCTTTGGTTGTAGTGATTCTTCTTTAAATCTAAATGAACTAATATAACATCTGTTGGCTCAGAATGTCCATATGACCAATGTTTGTTTGTTCTTGTTCCTCATTTGATTTTAGGGGAGAGTGTGGAAGAGAATGCTAATGTTGTGGTGAGGTTGCTCATCCGGAGGCCCGAGTGTTTCGGTCCTGCTTTGAGAGGGGAAGGTGGGAACGGTCTTCTTGCAGCAATGGAAGAAGCCATAAAAATAGCCGAGGATCCCTCTCGAGATGGTCCCTCACCAACTAGCGGATCCAGTAAAACACTGTAGGTCTAATATATATACTCTTAGGAGCAAATTACACTCCTTGTCTTGAAATTTTACAAAATATGATTTGCATTCTGTCAATTGCAATAGAATCCTCTGGTACCCATGATTTCTGCCCTTGAAAATCCAATGTGTTAGACTTGGAAGAACGGATGCAGGGCGCCTGGGTGGCTCCATCGGTTAAGCATCCGACTTTGGCTCAGGTCAGGATCTCAGAGTTTGTGACTTTGAGCCCTGCATCAGGCTCTGTGCTGACAGCTCAGAGCCTCGAGCCTGCTTTGCATTCTGCCTCCCTCTCTCTGCCCCTCCCCCACTCACACGTGTTCTCTCTCAAAAATAAACAAACATTTAAAAAAATTAATGAAAAAAGAAGAATGGATGGAATTTGCTGTGGGAATAGCTTGAATAAAGAGAAAATAAGGAAGATGGGGTGAATGTAGCAGGGAGAAGTTTAGGTTGTTTGGATGAGATGTATTTTGTGAATTTTTTCCCGGGGGGGTAGGGTGGTATGGCAAAGCGAGTCATTACAAACCACGGCAGACAAGATTCTGAAATTGTAGTAGGGTTTGGTGGGAAGCTAGCTGGAATGAGTTTTCAAGATAATAGTAAGAAATTAAGACCTTTAGCAAGAGAATGGGGGACTTAACTGGCATAGTGGTAAAGCCCAGAAAAGGGGGCGTTGTCATTCTGAGGAGCAAAATGCTTGATTTAGTACAATGGCTGATATGGGAGGCAGTAGCTACCTTACATTTGTACATAGTAGACATTATTAATACTTGATTCCAGCAACGGACATGAGTCAACCCAGGCATGTTGCTTCACAGTTTTTGTCTGTGGCGGTGAGTGTCCTGCTAACAGATCCTACTCCCATGCTACTGACCCCCCTGGGAAAGATAGAATGTATGGCTGACTGGAGGCAAATTTCCAAGCAGAGTAGTCCTGCAGACCCTCATTCTTGTATACACAGACTAGGCCTAGATGTTTTGTCCGTGTCAAGTCCAAGGTGGTTTCAGACTGGGAGTCTTCCGAGATCATGTTACATGTTTATCAATTAGCCACAGAGGAGCTAGGTGGCCCTCAGTTTCTCTAAGTAGTGGAAAATATATCAAGAGATCTCTGGCCCAGGACCACACCAGTGAGTGTGCACACAGCGCCCGGGGAGCAGCATTGCATGCCAAGAGGATGTGGTCAACGAGGCCTTGCTGTCACCCTGCAGACTGCTAGGTCCAGCTGAGCCACCTACCAAGGGAGGGGTGAATGATGTGATCTTCCAAGGCCATCTGGATTGGTCCCTCATTAGCAAGATAATGAAGTCTTTGTTTTTCTCACAGAGATGGGGAGGGAGACATGTTGGATTATTTGGGAGTGGCTGGGTGGGGTAGAGTACATGGTAAAGAGATAGTAAGTGAAAGATAACACATTTCTAAGTACTTTCTCTGAGCCGAGCACTGTCCTAGGTGCCTTACATTTGCTATCTTATAGGACAGATCTTTGTCACCTTTTTTGTAGATGTAAGCTATTTATAAAAGTCTTCTAAACAGGGGCACCTGGCTGGCTCGGTCCATTAAGTTTCCCACTCTTGATTTCAGCTTAGATCTCACAGCTCATGATGTCACAGTTTGTGAGTTTGGGCCCCATATTGGACTCTGTGAGGACAGTGCAGAGCCTGTTTGGGATTCTTTCTCACTCTCCTTCTCTTTCTGCCCCTCCCCTGCTGTACGCGCTCGGGCGCGCGCGTGCTCTCTGTCTCTCTCTCTGTAAATAAATAAATAAATAAATAAATAAATAAATAAATAAATAAATAAGCTTAAAAAAAAAAGTAAGTTTAAACTTACCAAGTCTTTCCATTAGTTATTTTCTTTGTTAAAACAAAGGTTGTCTGCCTCTAGAAATAAGCAGATTCCATCAAATTAGCAATTCTTTTTTTCGTTTGAGGGATTCTCAATATTAAAGTTCCCACAAATGTATTCTTGGTGTCTGGTCTTTAACTCATTGTTACTTCCCTTTAAAAATGTCAAGCTACAAATTAATCACATACATGAAAAGTAGCAGAAGAGGCAGAATGAATTACCTTGGGGATCCCTTTTCTCCAAGAAGTATGTAATAAACGTGAAGTGTCATTTTATCATCATGTTTCCTTTGCTTTCTGTTTCTTTTGAACAATCTACAAAAGTGAGACAGAAGAGGAGGAGGATGACACTATCCACATGGGGAATGCCATCATGACGTTTTATGCAGCTTTGATTGACCTCTTAGGACGGTGTGCTCCTGAAATGCATGTAAGTGCTTTGGGGCCCAAGAACAGCGATCCTGGCTTATCCGTCTATGTGAAGAATCCACAGGGCCACCTGGGTGGCTCAGTCGGTCAAGTGTCCGACTCTCGGTTTTGACTCAGGTCATGATCTCACGGTTCATGATTTCGAGCCCTGCGTTGGGCTCTGTGCTGGAAGCAGGGAGCCTGCTTGGGATTCTCTCTCTCTCCTTTCCCCACTCACGCTTGTCTCTGTCTCTCCCAAAATAAATAAATAAAAACAGAAAACAATCCATAGCCGGCAAACATCATAACGGCATCCAAAACCAATAATCTCCACGCTCCGTTAAAAATAATAGCAGCCGCCTAATTGCTGAACAAGTGTTTATTTAGTTGGAAATGCCTTGGTTGTAAAATTAGTAATGAGATTTCAGTACAAGTCATTAGTGGAATAGCCAGTTACATCTATATCTCTCAAACGCATTCAGCCTCCCTGTACTTTAAGAAGAAAAGAATACATTTTTCCTATAAATTTCCTCTGCTAATTTAGTGCATGCAGAGAGAGAGAGAGCAACAGCTCCCAACAAGAGTCATTTTCTTGGTGCGCAGTATCTCGTCTCTGAGGGAGCTGCCATATGCCCGTCACTGGTTTAGGGGAAAGTGGGAGTGCGGGTGGTTACAGAGATGGAAACAGCTATTCAGGCTCTATGGATTGGTGTTTTCTAAAATGTTCTGACGGAGAAGAAATTAGAAGTCTCCTGGAATGGTACTTACTTTTACTCCGTAATACATTCAGATGTTTTGTACTTTATTTTACCCTAACCGGCTTTGTTTTATTCTGTCGTATTCATTTTCAAAGTGCTAGCTTTTAAAGGCTCATAAAATTAGCTTCATGGCCTGGGAATGGGAAAGACCACAGAGATCGAAACACAGTGAACAGTGCTGGGGCATATGGCAGATACGCGTCTAAACTGAAAAGCCCATGGGACTGTTGCTTACAGATCACCTCTTTCTACGTATGCTTAGGATCTGTGGGGGTTTTGTGCGTTTGTTTTCGTGTTGTGTTTTATTTTTCTCTACTTCTTTTTTCTTTCTTTTTCTTTTTGTTTTTTTTGTTTTTTCGTTTTTTGTTTTGGTCTCCTTCTCTCATGGCTGTAGGTTAAAACCTTCGTGTTTTCTTGGGGCACCTGGGCGGCTCAGTCGGTTAAGCGTCCAACTTTGGCTCAGGTCATGATCTTGCGGTTCCTGAGTTCAAGTCCTGCATCTGGCTCTCTACTGAGAGCTCAGAGCCTGGAGTCTGCTTCGGATCCTGTGTCTCCCTCTCTCTCTGCCCGTAACCCCCACCCTCACACTCGGTCTCTCTCGAAAATAAACATTAAGAAAAATAAAATCAGAGAAAGCCTTTAAAAGAAAAAAAAAAAAAAACTTTCATGTTTTCTTGACATAACTTTTCGTTGTGAACAGAGAGGAATCCATTCAGCGTGGAGAAATGTCAGAATGTTAGAAGGACTTGGAGCCTGTTTGTATGCTGGAGGTGATTGCATACAAAAAACTTCATGCTCCCAGTATCTGTTCTTTTCTCAGTTGACATGAAAGATCAAAGGAACCAGGAAATTATGCCAATAAATGGAAATTTTGTGCTCTATTAAACTAGGAGGAAAGAAACCAAGTGACTCAGTAAGGCGCTGAAGTCGGCACTTCTCAAATTTATTCATCTTCTGTATCGATTGGTTGAAGACCTCCTATGTGACAGAGATTGTACTTGTGTTTCTCACCTTGTGGGGAAGGCAACAGGTGCCCCCCTCATCCCCCACTCCGAAAGCCCATGGTCTGTTCCAGAGCCTTGCTGAGGTTCTTGACATATCGCATCCAGTCTTTACAGGTCGTCCATTAGCCAGTGACAGCCTCAAAAACCTGTTATGATTCATATTCACGTTTTCCCCACTACATCCTAAACCCTTCCTTGGGAGAAATCAGTATGGAATATGGATAAGGATACAATTACATTTTCATCCCAAATCAAGAAAGAGGCTAAATCAATCATAAATATTACTATGTGTTCTGGGTCCGAAGATAATTATTTCATTGTATTTATTGTTCACGTTATGATAGGTATTTATATATAATTTTGCGAGGTAAGCCTTCGTAGCCTTATCAGATTTTCAATGTATTTTAGTACCCTGCAGAGGATAAAAACTACTGTTTTGATGGTTAAACCAGTGGGCCTATGCTGTAGTACATGATTTGGCGTATGCTGATGTCAGCACTACTGTGTGGACGAGTAAATATCTGTCTCTAAGCCTAAAATAACAAATTCTGTGAGAGGTCTAAGTTTATACGTGTAATTAATTAGCAGAAAATTATTTTAGATGGGGAGACCCATTCTTCAAATTTTCTGGATGGAATTGTAACACTGATTTCACGAAGTTGTTCTAACGTTCCTTCGTTTTCCTTCATGTAGTTGATTCATGCTGGTAAGGGGGAAGCCATCAGAATCCGGTCAATTCTGAGATCCCTAATTCCACTGGGAGATTTGGTGGGAGTAATCAGCATTGCTTTTCAGATGCCAACAATAGCCAAAGGTAAGGCCAGCTTCTTTGTAATTCAGTGGGGCATTGGAGGACATGATGTTTTAAATGCCACCATCAGCACTCGACATTCCCCCCAACACCTCGCCCCCAGTCCCCACTGCCATGCAGCATAGTTACTGGGTTTACATTTCTTCAAGAAAAGTAAAAAAACTTGGGGCACCTGATTGGTTTAGTGGGTTCGGCATCTGACTCTTGATTTCGGCTGAGGTCATGATCTCACGGTTTATGGGATAGAGCCCTGCATCGGGTTCTGCGCTGGCAGCACGGAACCTGCTTGGGATTCTCTCTCTCCTTCTCTCTCTCTCTGCCTCTTCCCCGCTCTCTCTCCCTGTCAAAATTAATAAATAAACATTAAAAAAGTTAAAAAGGAAAAAGCTATAAAGTACATCTTTTTCATTGAATTAAGAAAAGCTCTATTGCCATATTCTTCTACACAGACATTTACAAACACACGTATATAAATGAAAAAGATATTACTATTTTGTAAAGTATTTTCCAGCCTCATTGTTTTTAAACGGCTGTTTTCCGTGAGATTTTTGTACATGACATTTCAGACAGTTTCCAGAGAAGAGCAAATATGTACCTCATCTAATTTCTTTCCACTTTTTTTTGTGTTTTTTTTTTGTTTTGTTTTTTTGGGTTTTTTTTTTTTGTTTTTTTTTTGGCCCTCATTCTTCTCTGTCTTTCTTGCCTGCAATTCCTTTCTTCACTCTTTTGGATAGTTTTCATTGTCATTTCCTTATAATATTTTTTTTTCCCCAGAAATGACCATAGCTTCTGACTTAGACATTTATAAATTCCCAGTGTGTTGAAAGAAGTGCTCTTATCAAGACAAAGGAGGGAATTAAAAAAGAATTTTTTTTTACCATTTTGATGAAATGTTTATTGCTGTTCTACAGTATGTCATTTTGGTTTAGCAACTGCTTGTGATTAGTTTTTAATATTAACCCAAAAGCATGGAAAATAAAGGTATAACCTACTCTGTACATAAACCTTTGTCCAACAGCTGTGGCCCCTCCCCTGGGGCCAGATTGGGTTGGGGAAGAGGGAGGGCTCAGGCATTGCTGGATGAAGCACAGATGCCTCACAGTTTGGGTGGTTTACACACACACCGATCCCCTGCAGTGCCCCCAAACCACAGCAGAAATAGCACATGGTGTCGGCCTGAGGCCAGTTCCCTGTTGGTGGTTCACTCTGCCTACCATGGAGAAAAAGATTTAAGAGTTATTGAAGATTTGGAGCTCTTGGGTGGCTCAGTTGTTTAAGCATCCAACTCTTGATTTCATCACAGGTCGTGATCTCACTGTTCGTGAGTTCAAGCCCCACATTGGGCTCTCTGCCGACAGCACAGAGCCTGCTTGGGATTCTCTGTCTTACTATCTCTCTGCCCCTCCCCTGCTCGTTCTCGTTCTCTCTCTCTCTCTCTCAAAATAAATAAATAATTTTTTAAAAAGTTATTCAAGACCACTAAGGGACAAATTAGATTCCAAATTATACTTAGGTTTCCTTTTTCCAGTTTCAATTTTGTTCAGTTTTCAATTTTTTATTGGATATTCTTACATATGTCATTTTTACATAAACTTCTAATTTTAGAAGGAAGTGTAGTCTAGAATGAAGGGACCACTGTGTAACTGAACGTGACTTACCCTCCTAGCCAGCCTTCTGATGAAGAGAAAGTAGTTTCATAGGTGCCCAGCTTATAAACCCAGATCTTCCAGCCATAAGAGTTGAATATTCATTGTGATTTTCGAGAAAGCATGAACTGAATAATTGTCTGTGGCTTTTCATCTTCTCCACTTGAGGCAACTTCTTTTTTTTTGTATACATACAGACTGTTCTCACCTGCCTTCTTTCTACTTCTCTTTCTAACTCATGTTCATTTACTTAAGTACATTGTCCTTTCTTTTCCCTATATTTTGAGCCATAAAATTGGTGCTGTCAGAAGAAAGATAATAATGCCAGTGTTACCCAGATTAGGAAAGAGAGAAGTGCTACATTTTTAGATAAAATCAGTTATCATGAAAAACCAAGAACATAACCCCTAAGAATATCCAGATGTCTCATTCAGAATTCCCCCAAAGTATCTATCATTTCACTCCAGTTATCTGCCATTAGCCTTCAAGATTTTTCAAGGTGGTTTCTTTCCTGTTCTATTTAGTTGTGCTGTAATGATATTTGGTGGTGTTTTCCTTTATAAATACGCACTATTTTGTCTACCTGGGGGTTTAAAGGATTTTTTTGTGAACTCTCACAATCACGATGAAAGTTAATTTTTAAAACCCAATCCAGGGGCGCCTGGGTGGCGCAGTCGGTTAAGCGTCCGACTTCAGCCAGGTCACGATCTCGCGGTCCGTGAGTTCGAGCCCTGCGTCAGGCTCTGGGCTGATGGCTCAGAGCCTGGAGCCTGTTTCCGATTCTGTGTCTCCCTCTCTCTCTGCCCCTCCCCCGTTCATGCTCTGTCTCTCTCTGTCCCAAAAATAAATAAACGTTGAAAAAAAAAATTAAAAAAAAAAAAACCCAATCCATTGGTTATTATTAAATTTCTACTTTTTTATTACCACTTTCCTTTCATGGAAAATATATACAGAAAACTGTATGTTTTTATTTTGAGTGGTACGCATTTAAGTCAACCTTAAAAGCTAAACTTTTAGCTGTACTTTTCTGTATGTTTCCATGACAAGTCAGTTGCCCATTTAAGCATCACCCATTATCAACAATAATTGTTACTGTATGTTATATATTTAGGATGTGAAGTTTGCCTCTAACGATTAGTTCTTCCTCCCTTAGTGATGGCTGAGGCCTTTCTCAGAAATATTTTATCATATATCTTTTAGAACTACGGCATGGCCCAGAATAATAATGAAAGAGGGAGGGTTTCAGAAAACTTGAGGGACAAACACTCAGTCTCAAAAGTTGATATTCATGGTTTGTGAGATCGAGCCCCACATCAGGCTCTGTGCTGACAGCATGGAGCCTGCTTGGGATTCTCTCTCTCTCTCTCTCTCTCTCTCTCTCTCTCTCTCTCTGTCTTTCTGCTCCTTCCTGGTGCACTCTCCCCCCCCCCCAAAATAAATAAATAAATTTTAAAAAGTTCATGTTCAGTCCCTGCAGCACTTGGCCCCAGCAGATTTGGACAGACTATCTAAGGCAGTAATTGTAGGCAGATGAATATTGCAGGGACCACAAGGTTAGGCCAGTATACATGGCTTTCCTTCTTCTAGTTCAAAAGCCAGAAATTTGACAGGAGGCAGTCTGTCAGCTTTATTGTCTCCACTGTGTTTGAGGAGATGGTAAAAGTGAAATAGCAACTGTAGCAACTCGATGAGTCTTGAATCCCAGGTATGTGTAGCTGTAACATTCCTTAACATGAATGTCTACTTGGTTGAGTGTTTAAAACACAGATCTTATTTTAGGATCAGCAGGTTGCTTAACATTTCATTAGTCACAACTGTATATTAAAATCTTAGAATCTTAGGGCACCTGGGTGGCTCCATTGGTTAAGCATCTGACTTCAGCTCAGGTCATGATCTCACAGTTCGTGAGTTTGAGCCCCATGTCAGGCTCTGTGCTGACAGCTCAGAGCCTGGAGCCTGCTTCGGATTCTGTGTCTCCCTCTCTCTCTCTGACCCTCCCCTGCACATGTTCTGTCTGTCTCTCAAAAATAAATAAACATTAAAAGAATTTTTTAAAAAATCATAGAATCTTATAAATTTGAATTCCCTATCATGCAATTTTTAGGAGAATTAAACTGGACTGGAATTTCATATGGATTTTTAATTAAAAAATATAACATACTGATTTAACATTAAGGATTAAATCAGTTTTGGTTGGATTTGAAAGCTGATTTTCCTTGGTTTAAATCTAACTTTGCCAGTTACTAGGTGTACAACCCTGGGCAAGTTATTTAACTTCCTTAAAGGTCAGTGGTCATCTGTTAAATGTAGCTAAGAATACCAGCCTCACAGTGTGCTTGTGAAAATTGTTATCGAATGGTGTCTGTAACTTTCCTGGCATAGCGCCTAACACCACAAACAAGCTGTTATTCCCATTATTTTAATGATAGGAAGGAAAGTAGTGGGTATATGGGTATTATTATCATTTAATAAGGAATGGAAGCTTTTTGGTATTAGCCTTTAATATAATGTCCCTGAAAACATTGTTACTTGTTTATTGTCACGATTCAGATATGAAATCCATTCATTAATTACGAATGAAAACAAACAAGTTGTGACTTTATTTTTTCAGGATGATTGTGGTCATGTAACCTCTTCCCTGGATCCTTCTTTTTTCAACATTGTATCAATATTAATGATTCTGTGATAGTCTTTGTAGATTCTCATAGTGTATTATCAGTAGCAGGATGTTATTTGGCATAATTACCACATGGCCAAACAGGAAACAGATCTGTCCTCCAGTTTTTTAAATTGGCACATAATCCCCTAATTCCATATCTCTGTGATTCCCAATGTGTGGATCTATGGAATTCTAATGAGATTCCCTGATCTATACAGGCATCAAATAGTGACTATTAATAGAGAAAATAATCTGATTCTCAAATATGTCTTAAGTGTTGTTAAATGCTATTATGATTCATGAAACGTATTTCATTTGACAGTCCAACTGATTCATAGAGTTGCATCATTTTGTCCAAGCCATAAATATGTAAATGAACCATGATTATCACATAGGGATGCATGAGTGTTATTAGTGTTTAAAAGAGGCTCTCAGGGATGCATGAGTGTTATTAGTGTTTTTGAAAACACTGATTTTTTGAAAACAGTGAAAACTTTGCACTTTAACTTCTTATGGTATTTACTAGTTTTCACAATGTAGATTTGGGATGCCTTTTTGTTTCTTTCGCATTGTCTAGCATAATGCTGTGTATTGAATCAAATACGCAGCTAACAAATGGATATGCCCAAATCACATTTCGAATGACCTTGAATTTACATTGCCCTGTGGTAATTCTTAGGCCAGTTCCTAGCACTTGCCTGTGGGTAGAAGGACAAAAAAAACATTCAACTGATAATTTTACTTGAATGTGAGAAGGCTGGAAAGAAGCCATTTGTAATCTGTCCATTCACAACAACATGTTACCTTCTCTCTTTTAGATGGGAATGTGGTGGAGCCTGACATGTCTGCGGGGTTTTGCCCAGATCACAAGGCAGCCATGGTTTTGTTCCTTGACAGGGTCTATGGCATTGAGGTTCAAGATTTCCTCCTCCATCTTCTCGAGGTTGGCTTTCTGCCTGATCTCCGGGCTGCTGCTTCTTTAGATACGGTAATGATTTTAACGATGAACATTCTCAATTCCTGACATGTCCTCCTCTGGCCTGTTCTCCATAGATGTATTCATTCGTTTATGTATTATCACCAAATGTCTATTGAGTACCAATTATATTTTTAGGCAGGCAGTGGGTAAACATAAAATAAAATAGACTGTATCCTAAGGAATTCATTGAACAGTGGAGAGCACTTACAACCTCAGGATTAAGATAAGAATTCTGATCAGGTACCACGGAAGATAGTAAGTTCATATAACCCTAATTTGGAAGGTTGGCTGAAACAATCATGCTTCTCGATGAAAGCAGTTACAGTATTAAGAATATTTAATGGACACTGTTGAGTTGTGCCAATAACAGTATCATCCTTATAATACTTATAAGGATACTATATTATAATATAATATCATCATTATAACATAATGTCGTCATTACAATATAGTATCATCATTGTAATATAATATCATCATTATAATATCATCATTGCAATATAATATCATTATAACATAATATCATCATTATAATATCATCATTATAATATAATATCATCATTACAATATAGTATCATCATTATAATATAATATCATCATTATAATATTTAAAGCATAGATAAGGCTGTAATATTCCCCGTGCCTCCTGTGGCCCGCACTGAGAATCTGTCATTCCTGGTGTAAATACTCTCCTGTTTGAAGCATTCTAGAGTAAGCTGAAGCTCTAAATGTCATTTCGATAGTTATAATGCCTCCTTTTCTCAATTAAGTGGGTCTTTTTGATTCCAGAGAAAACCAGATCTTGAGGTGGTAACAGCTTTTTCATGAAAGTCTTGAGAGGAGACTCCTAAAAATACACTGAATTTTCTTTTTTCTTTGTTGGGGGTGTTCACATGTAATTCTGAACCTAATAGGATAGTCGAGAACACAAGAAGACAATGAACCTTTGACTGTCGATTCCGACAGACGGGAGCAAAACTGTAAACGTTATTAAGTAGAATTATGGAAGAATTTTTGAACATGAGATTTGTTATGGGAATAAGCTTCTTTCTCTTTTTCCTCCCCTAGTAAAGTACTCACATTCTTGGATATCATTAGTGTCTTCAACTCACACTCATCTTACCATTGATATTTTATTATAGAATGTGAGCCTCTTGGGCTTCTTGAGGAGGTAGAGATCACTATTGACATCACTTCATTTTTATCTATTTGTGAGCAATCGAAAGTTGATTGTTACTAGTGGTAAAAAAAAAAAAATCACATGGACCACATTTAAAGGTATAACTGAAGAATACATCTTCACTTTTCATACACTGGAACACCTTGGATTGCAAGTAACTTGTTCTATGAGTGTTCTGCAAGATGAGCAAACATTTCTAATGAGTTTTAACTTGATCAGTGAGCGATGTCTTCTAATACGAGTCACACATGACGCCAGACGTCACAGGATCCCAACTGAGCCAATGGGTCTTGAAATTTGGTTTGATATATGAGTGGTTTGGATTACAAGCATGTTTCCAGAATGAATTATGCTCACAAACCCAGGTTTCACTGTATTTGTCATTTTCTAGATAATGAAATTACATGTCAACATGTTCATCCCTTTGAGAGTTGTCTACTGCCAAACACAAATGACTTCCTACTCTCACGATTTCTTTTTAGGCTGCTTTGAGTGCCACAGACATGGCCCTGGCCCTCAATCGGTACCTTTGCACAGCCGTGTTGCCTTTATTAACAAGATGTGCCCCTCTTTTCGCGGGCACAGAACACCACGCTTCTCTCATTGACTCGTTACTGCACACTGTGTACAGACTTTCGAAGGGCTGCTCACTTACCAAAGCTCAGCGGGATTCCATAGAAGTTTGTTTGCTCTCTATTTGTGGGTAAGTGGGAAGCCAACTCCGAATCCAGTTTCTTCTCCTTTAAGGAAGAGCATTTACTATATGGCCCTTGACAAATAGTTATGAATTTTGGAAACAATTTCTGTATCAAAAAATTAATTCACTTTAGGTAGTCCCCTGTACCCAATGTCTGAGTCTTATCAGAGCACCCATGCTCCTCGTCAAGTTCTGGAGTGTTCCTCCAAGCCTCTCTAGGGTATCTGGCCATTGGATATAATGCTGGATCAATTTTACTATTCTGGATGTTGGTGGGTAGGGTGACTGTGTGAGGAGTCTCTGGCTGCCGTAGTGTAAGATTAATAGATTCTCCCCTTTTGACTATGTGTGATGATTTTAACTCCTTTTCCAGAAGAGAAAAGAAAAAAGGGACTTCTTAAATATATAAAAAATGATATAGTATAATATTAAAGCATTACTTATGTGTGGCAATCATGAAGGCTGACTTTATTTCCTCCAGCCTAGAAAACCACTTCCTGTAAATGGAAGTGTTCAAATGTCTTACTGTGAAAACCAGAGCATACCTTCTCCTGTTGGAGTTCTGACAGCTAACATGACAATTTCTCAAGCCCCCTAGCTGGGGTGATGGCTCCTTTCTGATTTCAAGAGCGGGTGAAAGCACGTGGCTCGGCAGTCCACTGATGAAGAAAAGTTTGCACTCACAGTAAAGTGTATGTATGGCTTAGAAGCCAGATGGGACTGAAGGAGGTGAAAAATTAGGAGGTTCTGTCTGTAGCTCCCCTGACCCTCAAATTCTGTAAAAATGAAATCAAAATACCTACCTCATAGAGTTTATCTAAATATTAAACAAGGTGAAACATTCAGGATGACCCCACATAGTAGATGTTCACTGTATGTTGATTTTTGTTCCCTTCCACCTCTGGCAAAATTTGTCTCAGCCTTTTTTTTCTCCCTCCTGTTCGGATACTTCTTCTTCTTTTTGCTTCTAATTCAGTCACTGAAGACCATTCCCACCCAGTAGAGTGGAGAAAGAAGTATTTCTGGAGGAAGGGTCTCAGGAAGCATTAGGGTCTGCCACTGTGAATGGTGGGAAAGTGAAGGAGGAGAAAAGAGGGCCATCTCTAAGGAATGCTCTTCAGATCTAGGGAGTAGAGATGAGTTGGGATGTAACCTTTTATATAGTTGTGTAGCCTTTTGTTGATCTTTGGATTGGGGCACCTAATTAACCACCATCTGAAGAGAGGTTCTTGGCATATATAATTTAGTCTAATGAACTATTTACTTAGTTTAGACACATTTCCCTTCATTATTTAAATGAACTTTGTTCCACCAGCCAATTGAGACCTTCTATGATGCAGCACTTGCTCCGAAGATTAGTGTTTGATGTCCCATTATTAAATGAACATGCGAAGATGCCTCTTAAGGTAAGGATAGGAAATGTTTGTAGTTAGTTGATTACTGAGTCCTCTGACTTTGCTCCTCTTACAACATGTACAGCTCTTAGAAACGCCATGTTTGATTTTTGACGAGGAAATTTTCTTCCAGTTCTTGAAAAGGGACATATAAATTTGAGAAATGTGTATATCACAATAAAATAAGTAATAAAAGATTGTAGAATTTCCAAGATTGATTTCCTTTAGGTGAATGGAAATAGAAATCACTGGGAAAAAAGATGGGCAATAAGGAAACGATGCACTAAAGTATCGTTAAGTCTGGAAAACATGGTGGTAGATGTGGCCTAAAATCTTAGCAACCTCAAGGGATAAAGAGCAGGCTTTTGAAACATTTTCTAAGTTGGTAATTTCATGACAGTTTCCAAGTGTAATTTCATAGAGTTCAAAGACAACTTCTGTATATAGTTAGAGTTTGTCACCAAGTATGGAAAAATCACTGACACTTTCTCTGCCCAGCTTCATTATTCTGTTCATGAATGATCTAGTCTCTTAGTATCTTACTGACCTGGGAATGTTTTTCTGTCATCTAGTATCTCAGTCAAGACTTAGCATTAGAATATTCGATGTGTCCTAGTACGTCTAATAGCACGGTCTATGGGTGGAGGTCATAGTCACGTAATGGACTGTTTTATAGGGAACCACTCTGCACTGTCATCTGGTAAGCATCGTTTTTCCTTGTGGCCACCCAGTAACAGTGGTGGAAAAAGAAGTTTGAGGTATTAATACGTCTATTTTTGAACTGCTGTTACTCTGACCATCCCTAGATATTTAGCAAATACAATCTTTCTTCATGAAAAATTGATTTTGGCTTAATAAATTTATATAAATTAATTAATTATGTAAAATAAATTGTATCCTTGCCCCAAATCCCATTTTTACAGTTTTTATCATCTAGAGACCCTTTGCCATGCAAAATTTTCTTGATATAAATGAGCTGGAAGGTACCTGAAAAAAGAGACAGTATTACTTTATGTGATAAACTCTTTTACCTTATAGATATTTCCAAGTTAATCCAAACACATTAGATCTCAATATTTCATCATTTGAGATTTCTAAATTGTATGTGTGTGTATTTTGTAATTGAAGGGGAGACCATAATAGAAGTATCTCTGTAGTAAGAGATGTCATTTTTTGTTTGTTTTTTAAGTTTTTTTTATTTTTAAAAAATATTTTTTAATGTTTATTTATTTTTGAGAGATAGAGCACAGGCAGGGGAGGGGCAGAGAGAGAGGAAGACACAGAATCCGAAGTAGGCTCCAGGCTCCTAGCTGTCAGCCCAGAGCCCGATGCAGGGCTTGAACTCGCCGTGAGATCATGACCTGAACCAAAGTCGGACTCAACCGACTGAGCCACCCAGGCACCCCTTAAGTTTTTTTTTTTTTTAGAAAGAGAGAGCACATGCAGGAGAGGGCCAGAGGGAGACACAGAGAATCTTAAGGACGCTCCATACCCAGCATCGGGCCCACTACAGGGCTCAATCCCATGACCCTAGGATCATGACCTGAGCCGAAATTAAGAGTTGGCCGCTCAACCAACTGAGCCACCCAGGTGCCCCAACATGTAGTTTGTTTAAATAACAATAATCCTTATCAATCTGTTTCCCTTCTTAGTTACGGAAAAGAGTCCAAAAACTTATTGTTGATTCATAAAGATCATTTCATTAATTCAGCAAGTAGTTGTGAATATTTGTTAGTTTATAGATCAAAAATGAACTATCCAAAGAGCTACCAAATAATTTGAAGATTCTATCCTTGTCTTTAAATTCAGTTTAGTCCTAAACAAACAAAATCTGCATAGATGAAAATGTAAGAAGCAACATAGATACTCGGCAAGATAATACGTTACATCCATAACCACCAGAGAAATATAGATAAGGAGATTACTGAAATGGAGTAGTTTGGGATGTTCAAGCTTGAAGCAAAGCCTGAAGTGTGGTGATTAAGGAGTGGCAAAAGGAAGCAAAAATATTGAGAGGTAGATTTCCCTTAGAATGTACATTTCTGGTGCTGTATCCTAGAGATATTTACTTGTGCCTCTGGGTTACCCTGAAGTCAATCCTGTCACTAAGTGTAGATGTGCACATCCAGGGGATGGGGATTCATGAAACTGTGAGTAAATGATACCATCTAATATATAGGACTCAAGGATACATTAGTAACCAAACACTCTCATAAAGACTACTGTTCTAGATGCTTTGTTTGTAAACCTGGGTATTTGGTCCTCATACTGTGATTAGTGTTAGATTTTAAAGAGGCATAGTATAGTATTCTCCAGAAGAATTCATAGGAGATTGAGCAGTTTTGACCTTATTACTTGGCCTTTGGGTCAAGTCACATGGGTGGAAATGGGAAAAATCCAAATGGTACCTTTAAGTCATCACTTTTGTAATTAATTGTTTCCTCACATAGTTGCTGACAAATCATTATGAAAGATGCTGGAAATATTACTGCCTGCCTGGAGGGTGGGGGAACTTCGGAGCTGCCTCAGAAGAAGAACTTCATTTATCAAGAAAGTTGTTTTGGGGCATTTTTGACGCCCTGTCTCAAAAGGTGATTCAATATTTTGTGGGCTTTGTGTGACAAAAAAATTTAAAAGTTGTAAATATTCCTAGTAGAATATCATCTTTACTTATTAAGACTTGTGTAGTTTTTTTTTTCATTTTCTAACATACAAATTTTGAGAATGTAATTGATATCGAGCTTTCATAATTATTAAGGTAGCATGGCCCTTGTGACCATAACACCATCAGAATTTAAAATGGCTAAGCATTTTAGGAAATTATGAACATGGTTGAGTTTTGGTGCATTTAAAAAAAAATGTTTATTTTTGAGAGAGAGAGAGAGAGAGAGAGAGAGAGCGCGCGCGCACAAGCACGGGAGGGGCAGAGAGAGAGGGAGACAGAGGGTCCAAAGTGGGCTCTGTACTGAGACCCGAGAGCCTTATGCGGAACTCAGACTCACAGACCGTGAGATCATGACCTGAGCTGAAATCAAGAATTGGCCACTTAACCGACTGAGCCACCCAGGCGCTCCAAGTTTTGGCGCATTTGGACTTACCTGGACTCAAACCCTCCCTAGTCACCCTGATCTTAAAACCTGACAAAATCTTATCACATATAAAAATATGCAGCCTCATAAAATTATAATATTCCAGTGGCCTTCCTGACTTTTCCCACTTTGCTGCCGTGGAGATTAAAGTCACTCCATTCAGTGTTGCTTTCTATATGTGACATTCCCTAACACCTGGCATATTTATAACGGATAGTTCAGATATTTTCAGAAGGCTGGAAGGGGATAGTATTTCGGATAAAAATCAGAACAGCATGCTTTGTATGCTTCTGCTAAAGTTATTAATCGAAATCAGCTTGAATTCCCAGGTGGACATTATTAGACAACCAGAGCAGGATATCCAGAAGTTTGCTACATAATAGAGTCAAGTTCATCTGTGATTACAGTTGGAAGCTACATCTTGATGCTTTCTGTTACCGAATTATAAATGTTGAAGGTATTTTTAGAGGAACTTACAGCATTAATTTAAAATTCAACACTTGAAGTGAGATAATTTTTAAATAATTATTATTTTCTACTTTTTGAAACATCTATAAATACTGGGGTGCCTGGGTGACTCAGTCAGTTGAGCGTCCAACTTCAGCTCAGGTCATGATCTCACAGTTTGCGAGTTCGAGCCCCACATGGAGCTCTCTGCTGTCAGCGTAGAGCCCGCTTCAGATCCTCTGCACCTCCCCTGCTCACACTCTCTCTCTCAAAATAATAATAATAAACTTTAAAAAATTAAAAATTCATAAATACAAATTTAATTAGTTATGTGATTAATATACAAATACCTCTTCCCAGGAATTTTGACTGTACATATTCCCTATAGAATTTCTTTCTTGGTTTAGAATTTTATTTTTCATACCTTTGTATATGATACAGATCAGCTAAAATTTCTTACTCTCTGGAATGTTCCTTTATTTTTCAAGTATAGCCTTTATAATATGGTATGGCGGTATTCTATAGTTATGCTTTTCATCTACTGAATTTATGTTTCAGTTGTAAAGACATGTTATACATTTAGAATATCCGAGTATATTTCATTTCAAATATTGGAGAAAACCTCTTAGAGAAGCAGTTTTTATTCTTCTTAAGCAGCAGCTCAGTAACTCTGACTTCAGCCCGTCTCATATTTGATGGGATTTCAGGCTACATATACTTTCCATTTGCTAGAGAAAGAGTCTGCGAGGGAGTTAACGTTAGCCTGGGGGTAATTCCGATCTTTTCTGACAGCGCTGTGCCAGCCACAGCGATCATTCTGACAACTTTTGCTCAACAGTAACCCAGGCTTTTGGTGTTTTGTTTTGGTCCTCCATTTCTTCCCAGAAATACGAACAAGAACTTTTCAAACTGGCACTGCCTTGCCTGAGTGCCGTTGCGGGAGCTTTGCCTCCAGACTACATGGAGTCAAATTATGTCAGTATGATGGAAAAACAGTCATCAATGGATTCTGAAGGGAACTTTAACCCACAACCTGTTGATACCTCAAAGTATGGACTCTTTCTATTGCAGCAGATTTTTATTGTAAATGATGTGTGAAGTCTGAAATTGAATAAGGTACTAATGTGAACTTTCTCTAATCCATGCCCCCTTTGAATTGGTATCCTTTTGGTAGGGGTCCCTTTACTTGACAGAATGAACAGTGGTGATAATAATGATGTCAGAAGTAGATATAATAATAATGTCAGAAGTAGATAACGATGTACCTTCTAGGCTACGTCACATAACCCGGATTCTGTGTGTGTGACCACATGATAGTATCTACGGTAATGAGAATCAAGAAAGGATATCAGCTATGTTTGTAGCTGAAAATTTACCCCAAGTGTTTATTAATTGCAGCCAGCCTCTGTAGCGCATCTTTGACTGGGGGTGATCCCGGCAGGGCAGAGCTGTTCTGTCAGCTGCAGAGAGTCACCGCTACATGTCAGCAACGTCTAAGGGGTAGCACCTGGTGTTCAGCATCATAAAGCACAGCATGAGATTCCAGGGAATATCAAATGAGAATATTTGTGGAAAATGTAGCATGCTGTTAGAATGCAACGTGACAGCCTTAACCACAGAACAAATGTTCCGTCACATAAAACTGCTTACCCGTACTTAGTTGCGTAAATTGTTTTTACAAATGGGATGTCTCAGTACTTCAGGTGTTTGGAGTCTCAGCATTTTTGTTGTTACTGTCTTTGAGTAGGACCATGGTTTCCCATTTGCGAGGAAAGCTGACTCTTCATGCCACATTATCTTATCGATTCCTTGGTGACTCCGCAGGATTATGGTGTTAGCAAGGCAGTCAGTGGTAGTTCTCATCCACGGCATCCGAATTTGCTTGGGAGTTCAACTTTCAGGCTTCTGGGTGGCCCCCCAGCTGGTTTAGCTTCCATAACAGATCAAAAATTCAACCCAAGTGGTATGCCATTAGTTTGATAATGCCTTAAATTTGCATGTTTGGTATTTGATGACAGTCCCGTGAGAAAAGACTCTACCCCCCAGTATTTGGCTTATGTGATTGATCCTTTGTTTCTCTTCCAATGTAAGTAAACCAAAATATCACATATTCAGTTCCTACATGGGTAAGTTTGTGGTTTGCTAACGTGATATAATCCACGATTTTAAAATAACATCAGAACATGTGGTGGTCTTGGTGTTGATTAATTAGATCTAACTGATTAACAGCTGTCGGGCATGTGTATTCATTTACCTAGGCTTACCCCTTTGGGGCCTTCTTACCAGAGTAGGTTTACTTAGTGATATCAATCATTGCTACATCTTTGTGATTTTTATATATTGTTTCTTAAGTATTTCTGGGTCATATAGTTCAATTCCTGACTGATAACATTGTTGCACAAGAACAGTAAACCATCTCACTATGCTAGGTTTTATTTAGAAGTCAGTTATCAATGGTAATTGTGTTAATAAGTTATATGCATGAGTGAATGGAGTTATATATATATTTGATTTTCCGTTCATTGATCTATTTGATATTCCCAAGTCTCATAGTTGGACTTGGTCATCAGTTGCATGCACTTATCATCTGTTGAAGAGATCAAATATTAATTAAATATGAAAGGAATCGAGAATAAATGTTATCAAGATCACAGAGCATGAGTAGTTACTTTTCGCTGTAGTCCATATTAATAGTAGAATGTTATATGTAGACCCTAAAATTTAAAATCATTAACACATCTCTAGTTGTATGACATTAATTTAAAATTTTAGTACATTGAAAAAGTGTCACCGGTCAGATTTCAGGAGATCTTTTACCTACTTATAGTTGTTGCAGAAGAGACTTAAGTCAAAAAGGGAGAATAACTTAAAAGAATGAATATGGAAGGGAAGTATGTCTTTAAGCTCATTAAATCTAACCATATCTTGATTCAGGTTTAAAAAAATTTTTTTTGTATGATTGATTATCCTCGTCTTGCAATATATTTTAATTATATTATATATAATTTTTAATATATACAACTTCTATGAAGACATAATAAGTTATGAATTAATACAAGATGAGCAGATAAGAACATTACCGGCTTGATTTATATATTATTCCTGCACTAGGGAAAAGCAATACTATGTTAAAATGATTTTTTAACAGTTATGCATCAAGTGGGATTTAAGCAATCATAAGCTGTGAGTAAATTACTGGTATGATTTCCCATAAATCCTGTAAAAATCAAGCTTTTTTTCTTTATTTTTCTCATAGCATTACAATTCCTGAGAAGTTGGAATACTTCATTAACAAATATGCTGAACATTCTCATGACAAATGGTCAATGGACAAGGTAAAAGCCAGAGTATCACATTCTCATTCAGTACTGAATGTACCCAATGAGTGGCCACCACCCAAATATTTCTGACCATGACTATTTTCTACCTTAAAGTGAGAGCTGTATCTAGATTAAGAAAGAATATTTAATTACGATTTGCTAATACAGTATTTGGTTCTGCCATTAATACGTGTAATCCAATATGAATGAGAAAATCTGTTTATCAAAAGCACAGTTTTAGGAATAAAAATTCTATTAGTGAAATAATAAATACAGTTTCTAAACACATATTGTTTGTGAGATAATCATCATCAGGGGCTTTAGGAAGAAAAGGTGACTGTATGTCAGAAATCTTTTAAAGAAACTTTCGCTTCAAGAGTAATTTTATATTAGAGAAATCTTGAAATTATTAATCGGAAATAGTGATTGTTTATACCTTCCAGTCTTCTGTAATAGGTCTTACTGCTAAGTAGATCTGCAGGTCGCTAAAAATAAACTGCATGGCAAGTTGACATATTTTATTTGGATTGTCAGAAAAATGCAAGCTGATGAGTTAAGTGACACATGTCCTACATATCATGAAATTCTCTAAAAGGAAACTTATGGCTGTGTAGTCACATTATGTTGAGCCTGGTTAAACTTGAGAGATGTGAAATAGATTTGTCAGAGAAATTGAGCTGAGATGATGCAGGAATCTAAAAGAAGCATGTACTGTTGGCGAAGTGAAAATCAAACATCAAAGGTTCCGAGGTGTTTGTGTTTATGGAGCAGCTCTGTATCATCCTGTTAGACTTTATATTAAATTTCAGTTCTTGCCTTCGCCAATCAGTCCCTTTCTCCTAAGAAACCGTCTTTTTGTTTTGATGAACGTGTGGTTCTTTGTTCACTAATTTATTTACTAGGTGAGTCAGTCCGAGATAAGTGTCTGTTTTATGTAAAGACTCTATTAGGTACCGAGCTGGTGGTGATGGAGAGGAAATTTACAAGAAGGCTGTCCTGAGCTATTGCAGTCTAGTTACTCAGATTCCATGGGCAGATATGAAATGAGATAGGGAAACGGTGACACGTACAGAACTGCAAGGGCAAAATCATGTGGAACGAACATGTTGAGAGTTAATTGAATACTGGAGTGGACCAAACAGTTAGCGTTATTCAGAGAAGCTTCCCAATAAAAACAGCACACTCTAGTTTTCCTGCTTGAACGAGCATTTCGCATACACATCTCAGATGGAGGGTCCCGAGATGTCACAGAATCAACATCATGGGGGCCGCGCACCCCGTAGTTTGCTCAGCAGGGGAGTGCTTACTGACATAACTATAGACCTGGATCTGTTCAGGGTGTGTTTAATCTTTGGATAGAAAGATTTGTTCTCGGTAATTATTCAAAATAATATTGGTTAGGATGGAAATCTTTATATTGACTTATGCTGGGTGGAATTCAAACCTTAGCCCATATCTTGATTTATTTTTATTTTACTAGTACACACTTCAACACATACATACCTACATTCTCAAAAATTAATGCATGTAAAATAATTTTGATTTTTTTTAAGTTGGCAAATGGATGGATTTATGGAGAGATATATTCAGACTCGTCTAAAGTTCAGCCGTTAATGAAGCCATATAAACTATTATCTGAAAAGGTGAGGTTTCTTTCTTTTTTGTTATACAGTTTCAATTTATTTTGAATTTTTTTCTTTTTTATGTAATTTCTTATTAAAATGTTTTCTTACATATGCTTTTTAAAAAAACTTTATTTAAAGGTTGCAATTTTTAATTTTAATCTTTTGTCTTTTTTTCTCGATTCCTATTTCTATCAGCATTTAATAGGTTCTTCTCTACTTAATATTCTTCTGTTCCTTTTTGATATTTTTTCCTCCCCAATATTTTTAAGGTCTTTAGAAAATATTCTTATGTGCTAAGGAGTTTCTTGATGAGGGATAAAGAAGTAATATTTACAATGATTATTACTTATAATTTTTCATGTGTTTTACTTCTTTGTGGGGGAAATCAGTATCTTGACAAATGAAGTGAAAAGGACTTTTTTAGTTTGGTGCTTACGGAGGAAGAGTTTTTCTCATCTGTGTATTCAGATGGTAGAAAAGCCTGCACTTATGGTTCATATAATCTGGCACTGTTTCTCCTTTTTTAGTTTCTCCTTTTTTAGTTAAAGTATCAGAAGCTGGGAAACTAAAGAAAACTAACCTCCAATGAAATAATAAGCTGAAATCCCTCTTTGTAGCATTAGCCAAATTAGATCTCAGCTCACCCGGTGCTTTTCAGAATTTTTACTTTACTTTTTCATTTCTAAATAAATAATGCCAGTCTTTTTTTTTTAAGTGAAGTGAAGGTAGTCTATTTCAGATTTTTTATTTGGATTCCATGCACCTCCCTTTTTTTTTCCTCTTCCTTTTTGTCTCTAGGAAAAAGAAATTTATCGCTGGCCAATCAAAGAATCTTTAAAAACCATGCTGGCGTGGGGTTGGAGGGTTGAGAGAACACGGGAGGGAGACAGCATGGCCCTCTACAACCGTTCTCGTCGTATTTCTCAGACAAGCCAGGTAAGAACACATCGGTGAATGCGCAGCTTATGTTGTTTCACAATCATTTGAATCTTTTATTTAATTAGTGGGTTTTCCAAAACAAATAATTGGAAAATTACGAAGACTAACAGAATGTTTAGAAGAGGAAAAACCATGTTTCTTTTTAAGTGAAGTTAAGTCTTGGTTAAAACTGGAGTTTATCAGGTGATGCTTCTCCTGGTTAGTCTCTAAAGGAGTGCCCAATGGTGAGGTCTTGACGTTTTACTGATGAAGCCTTACGTACAGTGAGATTGTCTGCAGAGTTCTCTTCTTTCGAGAAAGAACTGAAGGTTGGTTTCTTAGGGAACAGTGGGATCGTCAGACAGTGATCCTGATCTAGAACCCACACGAATGGTCCACACAGTGAGCTTGACCACCTGTCCGCTTTTCAAAGGCAATATATGCAACCATACAGGCAGAGCAAGAATTCAGAGAGGGGCACCTGCGTGGCTCAGTCAGTTAAGCATCCTACTTCAGCTCCGGTCATGATCTCATGGTTCATGAGTTCAAGCCCCGCATCAGGCTCCGTGCTGACCGTGCAGAACCTGCTATGGATTCTCTATCTCCCTCTCTCTCTGCACCTCCCCTGCTCACACCCTATCTCTCTCTCAAAAATAAATAAATAGACATAAAAAAAAAAAAAAGAATTCAGAGAGCACCTTGCTAGTGGGTCACATCAAGGAAATCCAGTCAACTTAGCAAGGTGCTGGCTGTGGGGCGTCAGTGCTCAAGATGCGGCACAGCCTCAACCTGAAGAACCTGGAGTTCAAGGTGGGGAGCAAATGCTAACTATTACCTGTGGCCCTTTCATCTCTCCTGGGAGCCAAACCTGTCATTTCCCTTTACCAGACTGCTAGGGCTACTGTGTTCGGTTCGCACAAAATATCATGGGTATTATTGCCTTTTTTTTTAAAAGAAAATAAGGGCATTCATAGCATGCGTTTCCCATGTTTCATATTTGAGATAGATTGAGTTCTGATCTGGGCATGTTGTACATGAAATTCTCTTAAGTAAGTATCATGTGGGTGGAAGCCGTAAAGGCATATCTTACCTTTTTATCATGTACGCACACATTTCTGACTAGGTTACATGTTGTTTTAATCTGTTTCAGCACATACCGAGCACAAACCCTCCGGTAGGTGATAGGAACATGAAGATGATAAGGGCCAAAGACTCACAACGTGGTGTCAGAGACAGGCAGGTTAGACCTACTTCAACGCAGTACAGGAAGTTTTCGCCTCGTGGTGTGTACCAGGTGCTGCAGAGTGCAGAGGGTGGAATTATTCTTTTTTCCCCTCTAAATTGGACAGGAAATCCAAAAAAAAAAAATCACTATCTAATGGGGGTGATTTAAGCTGTGCCCAGAACAAGAAGGTAGATTCTCCCACTGCCCGTAATAGCAAGACTGTGTCCCCTGACTTAAAATTGTATGTGTTGTATTTATTCCCTGTCTTCCTTACTCCTTGCTTCTCTCGTAATATTGTTCTCTGGGGACTTTAAGCTCTCGATAGATTCTATCAACCGAGACTCATAGAACCATGTCTTAGGTCTTACTGGTTTTAGAGGGACGTCATACATGTGTGACATATGATGTGCGTTGTTATGTCTCCTATGTGATTTCAGTAGGCCAGAGGCACAGTGCATAGATGAAGGACGAAATATCTGGAGGTAGACCGAGACTTTTTAGAAATGTACCATCAGGCATGTTACTTGATCTGTTTGAGTAAATGTTAACACCCCCATTTTTTTTTTCTTTTTAGTAAATGATAACTCTTATTGTTACTGCTGTTATTTAAATATTTTTAATGCCAGAGAGCATTTCATGGTAGATAAGAGTGTTTTTGCGTTTGTAGTGCTTTGACCTATTAGTAGTAAAGAAAGAATATTTCTCTCAGTATCAGAAATGGAGAGCAAATTCCAGTTGATGCCACCAATATATTTATAATCTTATCATTACTTTTATTCAAAGATTCTTTAAGCAGAAAGCAACATTACTTGAAATGTTAAAATATATTATTCCTTAATCACTAATCTTGTAGTTCTATCATCTTTTTCAGGTATCATCTTGCCAAGCTTTTTAATGTCTTTTCTTTTCTCTCCATTGCTGGTTTCCCATAAAGCTTATAAAGATATTTTCTATTATGCAATAGATAGGCTCTTCTGGATAAATTAAGGAATGCTTTTTATAGCGTCAGTTTATAGTAAGGAATATAAATGGGTGAATTGAGAGAGGTCACTTGTCGATGTGATTTTGGAGCTGAATTATCTCAGCTTCCTTTCACATGGGGCTCAGCTTTCCCTCTGCAAGGCAGAAGCAGCCTGGATTTAACTGAGCGAGGTCTGGCATAGCCTGCCTACTTTGAAATCCTGGCCTTACCACCAGGTAGCTGTGTGAGCTCGGCAAATGGTTAACTTCTCTGTGTTACGGTTTTCTCATCTTTAAAATGAAGCAAATGAAGCATCTATTTTAAAAGATTATTCTGAGGGCTCATGAGTCACTTAAAAGGGTAACTGGCCTATATTTCAATAAATATTATACTTAATTATTACCATTATTATTTTATGTGGATCAATAACAATTTTAATGTTTTTTGTTTGCTTTGAACACCACAGGAAGACATGAGTCCTGATTTTAGGAAATTTACTGCTCCATTAGGGTTTTGTAATTTGCATATGCAAGATACCATAAGGGCTTGGGCATGGCCAATAACAACTTAATAGGCTATAGAATATATAGAAGTGCAGATAGGAAAAAGTGAGGAGATACTGATTAGAGAGGGGGCCTAAGTAGGCCTCTTGGCAAAGACAGCATGGAAGGAGGGCGTTTCTGACAATTTCAGGCACATTCCACAAGTTCTTAACAATTACTTACTTGTCCCCAGATTGCAAGTTCCTATTTATCTGTTTTTCAGTATTGCAAATATAGGATATAAACTATTTAAACAAATGAAAAATAATTTTATAACCTGGGATGAAGAGAGAGATGGGAATGAAACTTTTGGAAAGTGTGACCACCTAGAACTAAAATGCAGGCTAGGACAAAACAAAATTTCATTCATTCCTTCAACGGATTCTTTATTGAGCACCTATTGTGTTCCAGTCATTATTCTTAGCTTTTCAGGCAGATCAATGGACAAAATAGACAAAGCTTTGTGCTCTCATGGAGATTACATTCTTGTAGGGAAAGTAAGCAGCAGATACGAAGAAATTATGTACTATGTAAAACTATGATTCATACTACAGAAACAAGAAAACAGCATGGAAAGGCAGACTGGGAATGCAGAGGGAGGGGGTTGGGTAACATTTGTGGATGAGTTGCAGTTTTATACACGGTTGTCAGAGTGGATTTCACTGAGAAGACGAATAGAGATTTGAAAGAGGTGAGGGAATTACACGGAGTTGGGGGAAGAATGTCCCAAGGAGTGCAGCAGCAGTAAGTTGGGAGTGACGCCCGATACATATCAGGGAGATGAAGGAAGTGTGTGTATATATTGGTGCTGAGTGAGTTGGAGCTGGGTAGCCAGGAGAAAGGTGGGGTGTCTCAGAAATCAAATCACATGGAATGTTGGGAGCAATTTTGAGAAATTAGTGAAGTTCTTTGGACTCTGACAGAATTACTTTCAAAACTTGATGCCGCCATTTTCTATGACTTTTGAAATAATTCTTTTGAAATTTTCTTCTTTTGAAATGGTGAACATTTCTTTTGAAATGGTGAAAAGTGACCTCTGCCTTTTAGAGTTGTTCTAAAGAACAAAAGACATTAATCTGCGTGCCTTGCGCATAACCATGCACGTGGTGGCCGTTACTGTTGCTAAAACCACTGGAGTTAATTACATTAATGTTCAAGCCCCTCGTTCAGAAATGGTACATGTTTCGGGCAACTTGAAATTATAGCAGCCTTGGCCGCTCTTTTGATTTCTCTGTATATGAAGGAGAGAAATAGGTAATGAAAAATATAAATAGAATCTGTCCCTGACCAAACAGGTATCAACTTCACATTCTTTAACCCACCCTCAGTAACTTAATCTAACGCTAAAATGATAAATAGTTAGACATAGTCCAAGAGGATATGAAATACTGAGAATTTTATTTTAGGAACAAATAAAGTTATTGATACCAACTCCATTTTATTCATTTATTCAATTTCCAGAGAGTCTAATATTGTTTGTTTATCAGTTTTAAGACATAGGTTTGCCATCATGTCTGTGAGATTAGGAATCACTTTATCATTGCAGTGTTGGCGAAGTCTGGCTTGTGCCACAGCCTCTGGGAACATTACGACCAGTAAGGCTCAGCCCATGCCCACAGATTTTTCCCATACAGTGGAAGAGTTTAGAGAATAACAAAATAAATATTTTGGAAATACAGTTCTGACAACAGAGTGGAGAATGAATTAGAGAAGGAGGATATGGAAGGCAGAAAGACAGATTCCTTGGGAGGACACTATAGACATCCCTCAAAACAAGACAAATATTAAATATCTGAATTAGAATGGAGAGAGTGGAGATGGAGGGAAGTGGACGTATCCCGGAGGGATTTTTAAAGTAGAAAAGACAGAGTTCTGTGACTGCCTGATATATGATTGCAGAGGAGGAGGAGTAATCAAAGGTGGTCACCATGGATCCGGGCTGGACTGCCAGGTGGGTGTTTATGTTAGGAAAGGTAGGGAGCACAGAGATGGCTACTTGCTCAGAGATGGCAAGGAGGGAACAATGAATTTGATTATAGATGTTGTGTTAGGCAGAATTACGGCTTTCAAAGATGATCCCCAGTTGCTGGAATCTGTGGAAATGTGACTTTACTTGGGCTTGGCCAGTGTGATCAAGGCTTAAGACCTTGAGATGGGGGAGATTATACTGAATTATCAGTGAGTCCAGTATAATCTCAAGAATCCTTAAGAGTGGAATAACTGCTCTGGCTTTGGGTAAGGGAAATGTGACTTCCAAAAAATGGCCAAAGAGATGCAGTGTTGCTGGCTTTGAAGATGGAGGAAAGGGGCCATGAGCCAACAAATGTGGGAGATATTCAGGTAATGGATAGAAGAGTTGCCAAAGAAGGAATCTGAGGAAATGGAGTCAAGAGAAGTTGAGCACAGAGACAGGAGGGTGGTTTCCTGGAGTTCATGAAATGAAGGGCTGGAGAGCAGTGATTCCTGGTGTCAAATCTAGATGGACTGGCTTGATGGCAGCTGGAAAGAAGCCTTGTGTAGCAGCTTGGAAACTGATAACATTTGAGAGGACAGTTATATTAGATTTGTGGGGAAAGAAATACACTGCAATATGTTGAGGCCATAAGAGGTGATAGGGAGAGGGAGGTGGCCAAGGCATCAGATAGCTTGAGTTGGAATCCTGCCAGCTCAGATTTTTAGCTCTGTGACCTTGGGTAAGTCACTAGTGTTCTTTAAGTTTCAAATTTCCTTTTAGGAATATTTAATTTAAAAGAGGGAAAAAATGTGATTTCATTAAACATTCCATTATTAGATGGTACTGAGCAGTGGTGAAGGCTCAAAAGCCAGGGTTCAGTCAAAACTAACCAATAGGTTGAGAATAGCCCATGAGTCCGTTATTAATGGTAACATAACGTTAGCCTCTCTTTTCTAAAAACAGAGACATGAGCTATAGTGTGCATTTTATTTTTATTTTTATTTTTTGGCTTATACGTGTCTAACAGGAGACTATACATATGAAATGTAATATAAATACATGCTAGAATATATTAAGATAGAGCTTTAGATTTAAAGCATGAACCATAGCTTATTTCTATTAAACGCTGTTATATAACATATACATTGTGAGGAATGTATTGAGAGCTCAAGACAGTACATGAAATGTTATGGTTGATGAGAAGATGTTTTGTTTTTTCAAAAGCCAAAATTCAGAAATTAAGTCTGATTGTTACTGGAGATAACTTTGTAAATCTTTGACTACTGTATGGTGTACTTTGGAAGAGTTGGTTGTATTTTATCTTCACATTTGGCCCATTGAGACATTCATAAGTATTGCCCTCTTTGATTAATTACTGTTTGCATGAGGAAGAATAAATTTCACTGTAGCCAATTAGAGTCTGTAAGAAACTGAAGAATACAGCGAGCCTTTGACTAAGGTAATGTTTCAGAATCCTGGATACAGGGGCACCTGGGTGATTCATTTGGTTGAGCTTCCAACTCTTGATTTTGGCTCAGGTCAGATCTCACAGTTTGTGGGATCGAGCCCCATGTTGGGCTCCGTGCTGCCAGCATGGAACCTGCTTGGGATTCTCTTTCTTTCTTCCCATCTCCACTCATGTTTTCTGTCTCTCCAAATAAATAAGTAGGGGTACCTGGATAAATAAGTAGGGTCAGTCGGGTAAGCATTTGACTTCAATTCTGGTCATGATGTTGCTGCTCATGGGTCAGGCTCTGTGCTGACAGCTCAGAGCCTGGAGCCTGCTTTGGATTCTTTGTCTCCCTGTCTCTTTCTGCCCCTCCCTGACTCTCACTCTGTCTCTCAAAAATAAATAAACATAGGGGCGCCTGGGTGGCACAGTCGGTTAAGCATCCGACTTCAGCCAGGTCACTATCTCGCGGTCCGTGAGTTCGAGCCCCGCGTCAGGCTCTGGGCTGATGGCTCGGAGCCTGGAGCCTGTTTCTGATTCTGTGTCTCCCTCTCTCTCTGCCCCTCCCCCGTTCATGCTCTGTCTCTCTCTGTCCCAAAAATAAATAAAAACGTTGAAAAAAAAATTAAAATAAATAAATAAATAAATAAATAAACATTACAACAAATGAACAAACGAACAGAAAGAAAAAAAAAGAATCTTGGATCCATTGCACAATATGTTGAATTCTGACCATTAGTTTTTGGGAGGGGCAATTCCTGAAATGTTGGGATGTATTATTCAGTCATAAACTGAAATTATCAGATACCCAAATACAATTTAATTTATATGCTCGTGAAGTATGTACGTTCAGATACTTGCCAGTTTCATCTGAGGAAACATTACGTTTGAAAGTTTACTTGTCCTGTATTTCTAAAATTTGTCTTAAGTCTCTCTCCCCTGGGTTTTTTAATTAGACTCTATCATTTTCACATAAATTATTTAGGTTTCTGTTGATGCTGCGCATGGTTATAGCCCCCGAGCCATTGATATGAGCAATGTCACACTGTCCAGAGACCTGCACGTAAGTATTGCTTTTTTAAAGTATTCTGAAAATTCCATTTTTAAAAAGCATATTGTAACACTTTCCTGCATACATTTCTCTTCATGAATTGCTTGAATATGTTGATCATATAAAGGGTCCATGGAATTTATAGATTATGGACCCTAGCTTTTTAATGCTCTGAAAGTTGATACAACTTTTTCTAGGATGCATCTTCCAGATAACATATTTTCCTTATAGATAATGTGCATTAAAAAAATCCTACTATAATTGAATAGCTGTGAGTGAGAAGAGAATAAATCAGGAATTAGAAATGCTCTGCTCAAGGGTAACTTCAGTTACCCAGTAAAGAATATGAAATTTAAGTCATTTATCCAGGGAAATGGGTAGCATTTTGCCTGCTGCATCCATAGTTGTATCAGTTCACCTTTGTGCCTAAGGAATGTACTTTGAAATGGCTGATTGGAGCAAACGAAAATTTGTTGCCTTGGAACAGAAATTGATAGGTCAGTATCCTGATCAAACAGCGATATTGGCATTATTAGTATTATTCCACGAGAAATAAATTTATAAAGACAAACCCTATGTAGTAGGTCATGTCAGTTATGTTAAATTGTTTGACTTGCCCATTGTCTTTGCTCCCGTATGGATGCCTTAAGAATGAGATAGTAATCTTGAAACTCAAAAGGGAAAAGAGAATCTTAGAGGCAATCTTACCAAAAAGCTAACGGCCACAAAAAGGTTAATGTGGCTTGTCCAAATCTCTCCCTGAGTGTGGGGCAGGCATTGAATCTAGACTTTCCATCTAAGCTTCTTTGCATTCATTGTTTAATAAGATTTAGATTGCCTTTTAAAGCTTTGGAAATTGCAATAAGAACCTGCAAATAAATAGATTTTTTTTTTGTTAAAGTCCATAGCTAATCTGAAGTTTCATTATTGAATTAATAAAACCTTTGTCTTTAGACATTACAAATAACTAGACAAAAACCATTACAAATAACAATAATCATTCCCATCAAATCATCTCTGCTGTTTACTACCGCACAATTTCACAGATTGTTTCTGGGTTTCACACGTTGAATCTGGGTTTCAGATTCCAAGTAAGATCATTGTGTTTGATAATCTTGAGATAGTTTAGCCTGGACATGCTATGATTTATTAATTTAAAGCATGTTTTGATATTACCTATTGGCAAGTGAGGTCTTTTTCTACCCATTAAATTATAACGTATTTTCTAAATGTTTCATTCACTTAAGGCTATGGCAGAAATGATGGCTGAAAACTACCATAATATATGGGCAAAGAAAAAGAAGATGGAGCTGGAGTCCAAAGGTAATATTTTCCAAAAATCCTGATTAAAAAACAGAGTGCAACTCTGTGAATATATGGTATGGATAAAACCATCTTTTTAAAATAAGAGCTTATTACACCTTTATTTTCTTAGAATGGTTCAGATACGCCTATAACAGTTGCAGGGTGGGAATTTTATAATTTCCTGCCTGTGAGTGTACATTTCTTCATGTCTGGGAATTCCTACGACTCTCTTACCCATTTTAGCATGTACATATCGATATGCCTCATCCCAACATTCGAGGTGTTCTGTCAATTCCTTACACTTCTCCCCCTGACTTCTATCCCTAACTTAAATATTTCTCTCATGTCATCCCTTCCCCTTTTCCATTTCAACCCCTCTGCTTTGTCCAGTCTAGTTATGTTCTTATCTCTTACATGCTTTTGCTTGGTCTTTGCTGCTGTTATTCTTAAATACTAAAATGACATAATATTCTCGTAGTTGTTTCTCAGATGTTCTCTTAACTTATTTGCATGATTTCTGCAATTTGATGCATCCTACATGGATGGGTGATCTCTTTCATTGTTATTTATTCACTCCTGGTCTATAAACATACCGGTGTGTGTGTGTGTGTGTGTGTGTGTGTGTGTGTGTGTGTGTGTGTGTGTGTGTGTGTGTGTGTGTGTGTGTGTGTGTGTGTGTATGTGTGTGTGTGTGTGTGTGTTCACGCATGTGCTCTCTCTACAATTACTTCCTAGAGGGACTTCTTTCCCCCGGTGAAGCAATAATTGTCTCCAGGTCAGGGCCCCAACTTCTGTTACTCTTATAATTCTTACTGTATAGTTCTAGGCATCAAGAAACTCTCTGTTTCTTATTTATTGGCCTAGGTAAAAATATATGGGAGATAGTTTTGAAGGGTGGGGATATTTCATGGTGGAAAGTACAGCTGGGGTCTTGAAGGATGGTAGCAACACCACACAAGTCGTATCAGACTAGTACAAGTGAGAATCCATCACAGAAATGAACAGAGAGGATCCCTTACACCAAAATTGCCTAAAATTTGACTCAGGGCTAGGCCTGTTTTTCTAGAACCATTTTATAAACGTTTTTTAAATGAATGAGCACTTGTCTGGCCAACAGATAGTTGAGCAGATGGATGGCTGGCTGGCTGAGCCATAGAGGCATTGAGTTTTGCTTAGTGAAATTCTTGAAGGGGCATCGTCCACATGAATAGTAAACAAAATGCCTATTTCCTGCGTAAGCAGATAGCATGAAAAACGTCAACTCTCAGGGTGCCTGGGTGGCTCGGTCAGTTAAGTGTCTGAGTAGGCTCAGGTCATGATCTCACGGTTTGTGGTTTCGAGCCCGTGTCGGGCTCTGTGCTGACAGCTTTGAGCCGGGAGCCTGCTTCGGATTCTGTCTCCCTCTCTCTCTGCCCCTCCCCTGCTCACACGCTCTCTTTCTGAAAAATAAGTAGACATTTAAAAAGTCTAGTCTCTCTTTTTCCAAGTATGTTTTAGTCACTGTGGCTTGGCCATTCAGTGTCCTACGGTCAGT